CATAATTAGAGATACACACAGATAGAGTTTCGACACACGCGTGCATATTCGTACACGTATATATACACGGAAGAAAAAAAAAAAGTACCTCGTGCACAGACGCATGATTTTATATATGGAACAAAATTCTGGGAGGGAGGTAACCGCGAATGCATCTGCGAGACTGCGTGTTAACATGTGAACGTGTGAGTCATTTTTGCCTGAATGAAGAGAAAAAAAGAAAGAAAAAAAGAAAGAAACAGCATCGAATACATTACCATGTGTTTATGTGCTTGTACAGTGTACACATGGCTGTCGCGATACACCGACACACGGTCCACGTCTTTCTAAAAAGAAAAAAAAAAAGAATGCCCGTGCATGCTCGTGCGAAATGGTACGGATTCGATTTTTTTGGCGATCGAGAGTCGTACGTACGTGATCACGGTTATACAACACACACGTTGTAACCGTGAAATTCTTTTTAGTCGGTACACTGACGAAGAGGCTGTTCTTTGTCGATGACTCAACTTTGAGAAACGAAAAATCACAAGATATTTTCGCGTGAGGAAAGGGTGGAAACAAGCGATCCTCGAAGTCGTGCTAAATCGTATTAAGTTAGCTCTACTGGCTTAATCGCCACCACAGCTAAATCAAACGATTTATCAACTATCGTTTCACGTGTCTTTACATCTTGTTTTTTTTTTTCTTCTTTCTATTTTACATTAAACGCGTTAATGAACGCAGGTTTATCAGTGCAGCGTGTCTTCGTTTGACCAAGACGTCTAGAGACGATTCGGCCACGACATCGCTAAGAATTCGCCTCCATACCATCGTGCATGAAACGAGCAAGCGACAACCAAACAACCAGCCATCGTCTGGTTCGTTGTACCGCGATCGTACACACAGACACACATACATCGTGGCCGTGTATCTCTGTTTCTGAAACGAAACGCGTGCAAAAGTTCTCTGGTCTCTGTTTCTTTTCCGTGTTTGACTGCGAGTAGCCCGAGGAAGATCGACCGTGTGTCTCTCCGGATCGGCGTCAGAGGTACACGACGATGCACACTGTTACTTAAGTTCCTGCCACTGAAATTGTACACACACGCGTGCTGTAACCGTGCAATGAATCGTGGCGAACCGCGCGGCGAAGAGAGATCGAGAAAGAGAGAGAAAGAGATCGGTGTATCGTGAAGGCCGTATGCGCGTTAGCTGTTACTCCATTCGTAGGATCGAGGTCGTTGTAAAGAGATAACACACGACGGCAGGGTCCACGTGCTTCGACCTGGCAATAGGGACGATTATTTACCGCGAAGCACGAGTTATATGCATAATTTGTATCCGCAGTTGTACACTCTGTATCTTTCTTGAATAAACTGAAATAAATTTTTCTTTTAATTCCTTCAGCCAACACGCCCCGGTGCTCGACGACGATTAGGTGGAATGACATTCATCTACGACGCGTA